TGGAAAGTGACCTGAGATGACATGATGTGAATTGGAGCTATAGAAATAAACTGAATTGAATTTAAGTTAAATTTCCCAAAAAATGAATCATTTAAAAGTGGATAATATTGACAGGATGTCATTAAATGATAATTAATAAGGGGATGACAGGATTAGGGTTGGTTCTGTGGCGGCTTGGTTCGGCCTGGCGTGAAGGCTGGCGGTCAGCGTTGGAGCCCTGGGTACGGTGCTGGCCGTTCTGGACAGCAGGCTGTGCGGCGCCGCTGTGCCTGGATCGGGAAGGCGGTCCCTCGGTAATCCAATCGCAGCAATCCGGGTGGGAAACGTTTAACTTTGTTTCGGTTCATGTCTCCAGGGCCGGTGGGGTTCCAGCTGGGGGCCCCCGCCTGCAGTAACTGACTGTTTTCCATCCAGGTTCTTATGGTTCTGGAGCTCGGACCATAATGATGGGGAAATCCGTCTGGAGCTGTGGCTATACTAAACCATGCAGCTAGCTAGGATTCATTGTTTCATGAAATAAAATGTTTCATAAAAGATAAATGATGCTTTGAATCAGCTTTATTGCCATCAGGCACTTTATTAAAGCTACAATAGAGAGAAAACAAGCCGTTGATGCTTTAGTTTATTGAATCCAACTGATGCTGTGAGCGCAGGATTGATGATAAATTAATCTGCCGTGATGTGATCCCATCATAGTCTGCTGTGTTCGGAAGCTGCAGATTATCCGGTTGATTTTTGTCTAATCTATTTACTTTCCAGATCGAAATTTGACGCAAAAAACCAGGTCCGTTGGATAATTAAACATTCCTTTTCTAGATCCAAAGCCATTCCTACGACAGACCATTGTAAGGACGTTTTAACGATCTTTAACAACGCGTGAAGTAGTGTTTCTATGCACCCGCCTGAGGACGATTGACTACGCCGACATCACAGCTGGGGATCGCTAGCATAGCGCCCAGCATGCTGTAAAATACACTCGGTTTTTATTACTTAGAGCTTTATTGCACGATTTAGAGGAACGGTTTGTTTAATGATAAAACAAATAATTTAATCTGGCTGCTTATAGGGTCTATATACAAAAAGTGCGGTCGGAAAATTTAAATTTCTCTTGTCTCATATAGTTATGCTATTTATCCAGTGAAAAATGTTTTTATACTCAGTTTGTTTCATCTGCAAAGCTGAAAAAATGCCTGAGTGAGGGGTGGTTTAAGACAAAACATACTTATTCACATGTTAAGTTAAAGTGTGTGTAATTTGTTTTAACTCTTACACAACCTTCACTGTTTTTTCATCAACATAAGTAAGGAAGACAAACTCTGCCTCGTCAGAACGGGGCTGATTACTGTGCCGGAAGGACTGTATGATGAACTGTTCTCTCTTTGCAAAGATAAGAAAATAAAGTTCCTACTGAGTGAAATCCATCGATCTCGGTTGGTTTAACTGGGATTAGGGTTGAATGAAGTCAAAGATCGGTTATAGTTAATAATTGGTTAAGTATTTAGTAAGTAGTGTCATTAAGTAGCTGTTCCAGCTCCACTAAAACATTTAAACTAATTCTAGACTGCAGGTATTTTCAGATCCTGTGTTTGTAGTCATGCTTGAGTTCAGAGCAGAAAGGTGTTAGAATAAGGTGTGAAACTAAAATGCCTTTAATGAAGGTTCAAGTAGAACAGAGAGTAGTTAACATAAAGGAGGTTTCTGCGTATGTAATTAAGTCCTGATAACATCACTGGTTGATTGCGTCTCTTTGTGAAACATTTAGATCCAGGTGAGCGTCGTTAATTATTGGCCAAACACGGACCGGGTCTATGCATCATTATCAGAGCTTCCTTGAGTTTACGGTCAGACGTGGATGAGATCAGGCTGTTAAAGGCTGGAGGAGGGTTTGGCTCCTCATAAATAATTAATCAGTCAAACAAGGAAAGGCTCGTTCATCAGCCAGGCCTTCTGCTCGGCTCTGGGATTAAAACTGAAGTAGAGGAAAGTTTTTCTGCGTTCTGCGGAGCCAGACGTACCACGGGGACTCGGCCGCTGTTGGACTCTGCATCTCTGCTGCTATGGTATCGCCATGGAGACGCGCCTCCTCAGAGGAATGTAATTAGAGGAAATGGTGGTTACCCTTGAACTCCATGCTGGAGTCCTGTTCTAACTTTCTCTGCAATCATCGGGGAGGGGAGAAAAATGTCTAATTGCATTCTGTAGTCGTCGTCTCCCCCCTGATCTAATTTACTCTAACCTTTGGTTTCATTTTGTTTTTTTCTTTCAGTGTATGTGGTGGAGGACAGGAGACGGGACGACACAGGAGACACCTGCCTGACGGCCTGCTGGACGGCACTGTGCTGCTGCTGTCTCTGGGACATGCTGACATAACGTCCCTCTTCATTTGTTCAGCCTTATTAGTTTCCTGTAAGCCCCCCCCCCCCCCCCCCCCCC